GACTGCTCCTGCTTGATGACTTTGTCTATGTATTTTGTTTGTTTAAAAAGAGAAACAAGTCAGCGCTGTCACACTTAATTCCGGCTACCCTTTTCTGCTAGAGCAGTGGGGTAAATAGCTTGCGGAGACATTTGAATGTCTTAATAGACATTGTAACTGCTCCATCTCTAAATGTGTTGGAATGGAGGCACGAGGGTTGGCATCATTAAGGAAATGTGTTAAGGAAGCCAGTGACTTGTGCTCTAACCTCTGCTGCTCAGCCTCAGATCCAGTAAGTGCACAGTCCTAGGTGACCTTAATCAGAGAGAGGTGGCACTTACAAAACACGCACATGCACACAAAGCCTCAATTACATTGTGAAATTGCTCTCAAATGAGTCGTGCAACATGTCTAGCTGCTCCATTTATGTATTCTTGTAAAGATTCTGTGTCTTGTTATTTGTCTGCAATTGTATAGTTGGCTTGTCTGTGGGATCTGTTTGTGCATTTGCAACAATAATACAGACAAACTGCAGTTTTATTGCATACTGAAAGCAGTTACTCCTTTACTTACTGCAAAGAGAATCAGTTGTATGTTATTTCCAGACTCCAGCAGATTGTGCTGTTTGTTTAGGTTGGACCCTTGTAGAGTTAGCTAGCTTTTAAGTTTCTTCTCTTGCATGCTCAGAGGTTTTGAGACCTAAACTTACTTGTACAATGTTTTCAAGCAAAGCAAAGCCTTTCTTACCTTCTTCTTTTTTTCCCTTTAAACCCTGCAGCGTGAGTCAACAGCCATCCTTTTCCCTCTTTCTTGTCCTTTAAAGTCTCTCTCCTCGCTGAGTTTGGAGGCCCATCATTCTTTAACCAGAGGCTTTTGTGTCATTTGGTTCTGCAATGGGTGTTTTGTTTGGACTGGAAAGTTTTTTAGTGATGAATTTCACCCATCACATTCTCCACCATGGTTGACCAATGAGTTTTGTGAAGGCTCTGCCTGTGGTGTTTTTCTTTAATAAGTCCAGAGGTGAGGCAAAGCAAGCAGGACATCAGTCATCCTGTCAGGTGCTTACCCTCTGATTAGCTCTCGATGTTAGTTTGAGATATTTAACCTGCCACAGTTGCTTATGTCAACAAGAAGTCATATCACGAATGTTACAACCTTTTTTTGTCACCTAATAAGTTGAATTTTGTTGATCAGATACATATGCTGCTATAATAAGATGTAATAATATCTTTGAGATTCTTTCAAATTAAATGACCTTATATTTGTATACAAACCTACAAACAAAACAGCATGCTCTTCATCATTTTTGGGTATTTGAGAGATGAGAAAGGCATGTGTATGTACGGCATTTTTTTGGTAACCACCAACTACAGTAAGAAAAATGCACAGGAGACATTTCCCAACAAAGTGAACCCTCTTCTAGCTATATTAACACCAGTTATCAGTGAACAGGGAGGTGAAACTACACATACAGTATGTTATTGCTGTGCTAAGACTTGGTAATGGGAGAAGGTGGAGGTTTCCAACTTGATTAAATGTACTCAAGAGAAAAAAAAACTAAAATCAAACTCATAACGATACCTTTCTTAGATAATTAACTGATTTGAATAACAACCAATTTAACATTTTATTTTAATATACAAGTTATTTGTATGTCCTTTTTGCCTTTAATAGATAGGAGAGCTGAAGAAAGACAGGAAATGGTGGGAGGAGAGAGTGGGAGGTGACACGCAGCAAAGGCCCGAGGTGGGATTTGAACGGTCCCTGCGATGAGGACTATAGCCTTCGTACATGGGGCGCATAATATAACTGATTGGCCATCTGGCGCCCCTAATTGAACAGTATGAATTGATAACAGTGTTATGTTGGTTTTGTCATTAAAAAAGTTTGAGAACCACTGCTGCATGTTGTAAGCACAAAGCCCTACCTTCTGTCTCCTGTGTTCCCTCGCCTCCCTCACCCTCCCATCAGGACACTAGTCCAGCAAAGCCCATACAGGGCCAACCTGGAGAGCGGCACTCTCGCCTTTGGGCCTCCACTACACACCTCAAAATGGATCTTTATTTACAACACAGAACTCGGAAACAGCTGGTCAATCCATTTAGCCTAAGGCCACTGATTTGTTCGTATTTACTACAACAGCCAAAGAAAAGCCAGGGTATTTTTTCCTCTCTCTTTCCTATTGATCCGGCGCTTAGAAAATCTGCCCTGCTGTCTAAACACTATTGATCCCTCCCTCTCAACGACAGGCTTTCGCACCAGTGTATAAAGGGACTGGATGAATTGAAATTTCATTTCCGACAACTTGTTCCTGTTATTTTTACCCTTTTTTCAATAGTAGGGAACATGGGCTGGCAGGCCGCCACTCACAGAGAGTCGACCAGTGTTTGGCTCAGAGGGGACAGGAGGGATAGGGGTGATACTTTTACTGTTACCCTAAGCAGGTCTTAAAGCCATTATCCCACAGACTGGTTTGCTCTGTCACATATACTGCATTTTGATTGCATGCAAAAGTGGCACAAATTTGTTTTTTTGTTTTTTTTTGTATATTTGTTGTTGTTGTTATTGTTTTTTGGCTTATCAGTTGTTTTTTTTCAATTACTGTGTGAACGGCACAAATAACATAATTTGATTTTTGCAATTCTCGTTTGGACGTTGGTCCTTATACATGTGGCCTTATTTTTCATGAATAGGGCCTTAATCTAAACATCAAAGGTCATGTGTCATCAATCCTGGACTCAGGTAGCAGGCCATCATTTCAGTCATTTTGTTGAAAATACAGTTTGTTTTGCATCTTTTATTAATAAATTAAAAGTCATGCATGCTTAACCTCGTAACCACCAAATGGCGTAGGGGTTAACAACAAACATTATTTTCATCTGTGTGGGTCATTAACATGATTTTATGATAGTTTCTAAACTTGATGTGCTTTATCCAATCAAGACGAAATAAAAGTAAATGTAAAATTTAAAAAAATGATGCTTTACTTTATTCCCTTAAAAGATTGCTGCTTAGCAACTTACCGTCAAGTCTTGAATAACAGAGATTATTTGCCCTTGAATTTGACAGTATGGGAGCTTTAAAGCAACACCTGCCTGCAGCTTCATTATTGCATAATTATAGAAAATAGATTTTCATAACCATAGATGCATTGCTTTGAATCAATGGGTGCCTGGAGAATACAGAAGTGAATTCATCTGAAATCATTTAGATCTACTGTAATTGACACTAGTTTTTGTTTAGAGTTAATGTAATGAAACATAGTACGCTGTCTTATAACAAAGCTGTGGAACGTTGAGTACCGGTATGTTGAGTATTTCACAAATATTGTAAGGGTTAGTGTTAAACTTATTGTTTATCTGGTCATCCTATAATCCCCCGAATGCATGGGAAGGAAAATTATTATTAAACTGATTTTCCTTGATTGATATTGTGAATCATTAATCAGGGAGAATTGTAATGTACCAAATGTTAAAGATAGAGTCAGTAGAAATTGTTTGTTACAGCTTGTAAACACAACATTCAAAATGGGCCCCACTCCTGGGATTATGGCCACCAGAAGCCTACGCCCACTGCAGGACTATGTGTGTATGTTAACTGCATGTAGCTACCTGACAATATTACATAAGGTGTTATGGAAAAGACGATAACTTAGCAAGCGAGCACAAAATAACCGCCACTGTTTGGCACCTGCCAGTCCAACAGAAAGCAGGCCAACTCCACATCCACTGACCAAAAGATCACCCTTGTTTTGGAACAAGCTTTATCAGTGAGGTATTTCACTTCACTATGATTATTTTTTCTCTCTTCTTTGCAATGTCCAGGTCTACAATATTCACCCATTTGAATGGTGATTTATTGCAGAATGGTATCCACTCCAAAACTGTCATGTGGCTGTGGCATAGGGAAACATCACTACCCCGCCCGAAAACATCCTGAGTCAACGAAAAGATCAAAATACAGGCAGATGACAGGGTCTCTCTGCAGACACAGTTAACACTATGTAATTGATGATTAGGCAGCATTACTTTTGTATAAGTCGATATTTTATTTCTTAATAAAAAGGCTACTGACTCAATCTGTTAGTCATTATTTTTTACAATACATGTTTTCCCACTAACCCTGCTATTTAGTTATTAAGTAAGATACTAAGCAATGCAAAGTCATACCTCCTCATCATTTAAAGATGGTTCCCATTTTTTAGCCAAAACAAGGTGGTTAAAGAAAGCTTAAAATATAGATTTAAAACTAAAATATGTACACAATCAACGAGTATGTTATGGCCTCTAGCACATCACAGAAGGGGTTCCACATACTGTAGGGGTTTTCACAGTGTCCCCCAGTAGGGTAAAGCTACCAGTAAAGTCCTCGGCTCCATCTGGCTCACCACTGCGTCCAACTCTCACCATTACAACAAGATGGAGTATTACATAAAAAGGGAGGTTCTGTTTTAATTAACATCAATATTCATGTAATGGTCATAAAGCCAGCCCACATCTCATGTTAAGCTCTTAATGTTAATGCATATTTTAATACATTATCATTGCCATCACCATAATTCTTATTATGATAACTATAATTATTAGATTTATGACAGAATTATAGTTCTGTCCCCTGAAGACACATATTTTGCAGTGAATCCAATTTTCCCCTGGTGTATTGTGCTCCCGGTCTTTCCCCTCCAAAATACTGAGCAGACACTGATAAAGATAAACACACAAACACCCCAGTATGGCTGCTGCTGTGCCTGTAAAACACTCAATCTGAATTGCATATCCGCATTGCTACTGAGCTTGTCATAAGCTGTATTAAGAAAAATGGTCACACGCTTTGACATAAATTGGAAAATGACATTTGGAGAATGGGTGCTGCTGTGGAAATTAAAGATATTAAAATTATAAATCAGTGTCTGGAAGAGCAAAGGGGGGTGGGGGGGGGGGGTGACGTGCCTTTTCTCTCTCCGTTCTATCTCTCTTTACATTCATCTCGCTCTGTTTCTGTCTTTCCTTTCTCTTACACAGTTGCTCTTTTGGGCTTTCTCTTGAGGCAGCATAGAGTTGGAGCCCAGAAGTCAGTCCAGTGAAAGTGGCTTTAAATGCAGCCTGCCCCACAGGGACAATCCCACCCAGCCCTTCATCTGGCAGTTAAAGTGGTGGGTATTGTGTATTTGTGTGCAGTGTGTGTTGGTGTGTGTGTCTGCTGCCGCCGTATCTCTTCAGCTTATTGCTCGGCTCTCTTGCCGTAACCTGCTAATGGATCATCTCTGAGGTGTGATATGTATTATGCAAAAGCAAGATGTGCTGACACCTTTAAAAACAGACAGCTTCAATCCTCTGAACGTATCCCCTCTGCCCCCTCTTATTTGTGTGTCATGCAGGAGGAGGCGAAGAGGCAGAACGAAGAAAAGATTTCTGAGCTACAGGTGTGGAGAAAGACGGTTAGAAGACATGGGTGCAGAATGAAAGGCAAGCGCTGCAAAGAAAGGTCACTTGATCTAAGGCACATACAACCTTGCATGAATACACACATATATCCAACTTACTCTTTCCCTCAATAAGAGGTTGAGGGTTTGCCTCTACATGTAAATGCTCATGTGTCCCTTTGACTTCAGTTGCCCTTTGTTTTGCTAGAGAAGTCTGGGAGGTTTGTGGGCCTCAAAACCTTGATCTTTTGACTTTCCCTGCATTGGAAGAAGCTGCAGCTATGCCACATTTGATACCGTAAAGATGGTGGGTCAAAAGCTCTTTTTCTTCTGGAGTACTAAATGAAAACATTCATTCTCTGCGTCCTTGAAGGATGAATGGTGCACTTGCTTGTAAGTAGATTTCCCTCACAGTGTCAATTCAATATTCTGGGGTGTTTTCTGAGGCTCATTTATGCCTGGAGTTCTTCCCAGCTTGTCAGTGTGCTCTTAAATATGAAATAACCCTCATGTAGCCTCAGTACTGTTCATTAAGCTCATGGATGCTATATATTATGAAGTTTGAAGAATCTATATGAGCCTTATCTCCATCCTACTTGACTCCCTGAGTTGAAACTCCACTACTGCCCCTCTGGCCGGCACACACAACTTCAACATTTCAGCACTCTATTTACTTCTGCTTAAGTTTTCCCTTGCACTCTCCATCCTAATATTGAAATATTCAAGGAAGCATTCATGAGGAGGTCAAGTAACGGGAAGAGGCACTTAGTTTTGTTAAAGTTTTAGATGCCTCTTACTGTAGACAAGAGTGTGTAGGAGGGGTCAGCGTCCTTGGCCGTGCCACTCATGAAAACAAGAGAAAGGTACAGAGTGTGTCGCAGTCATAAGCCGCATTCTCCCACTGTTATGCCTCAACTCAGTGGTAATAAAGAAATAAATGTGATGGAAAGTTTGAATCTGGAGTCTTTGCATGGATGGCACTGCATACAAAGAAATGAAAAGATTTTTAAGAGTTCAGCTGGAGGACGACATCTGACCCTCAAGATTTGTCCACAAGCGTATCGTACCCACAGCAACATATTCAGAAACGAACGTGTGTGCAAAGACACACACTGGCTTCTGTCACCATCATTCTCTCATTCAAAGAAATAAGTTTGAAAGAATTCAGTTTAATTATGTTCACTCTTTCTGAATTTGATAGACTATAGGACCAGACTGACCTTTCCATAAAACAACTTCTCCAAGAAATCAACTTTTATTTGGGATTTAAAATTCTGATTTGATTTTTTATTTTTTTTATTTTGTGTTTTAATGGAGGTTCAAAAGGGCCTGACCTTCATTTTCTATATTTATTACAAGTTAAAAGCAGATTTTTTAACGAGGTAGCGGCAGTCTTGGAGAGACTAGAGGAGGACTACCAAACTGTGTCCTACTATATTATCTCTTTTTTGGGCCAGAGGTGGTTAAGGCGGTCTTTAGGCCCTGAGCTGGATCGCCATGTGTGAGGTGAGTAACTGGAGGCAAGTGCTGAGCACTGAGATGATGTGTTTTTACAGCACAGTCTTGCTGTGCTTTGGGATGGCAATAAACCACGGCCTTCAAAGCACAGCCAAGCGCCACTTACTGTTGAGTGCTTCTCTGGTGGTTGGACGAGATTACTCTCAAAACAAAGTGTGGACAGGTTGATTAATAGGAGGGTCTGCAGAGGTGCGTGCTGCAGTATATTTTCACACCCGGTGAACACTTGTTCATTTCATTCGTGTGGACTTTTATGGGGTGATCCTGTCACTGTATGAGTTTGTCAGTTCATAAAAATGATCCCCCTCTTTGTGTGTCTTTAAGTGAAAACTTATCAGAGCTGTTACGGCCGTGTTTTTTTAATGTCAAGGTTGGCACCATGACTTGAATGCAACACAGTTGACTGACCATTTTAGTCCACAGTAGAATTAGGGGGAAAAAACCTGGAAAGATCTGCAACATATACTCCAAACATCTTAATGATAACATGAACAATATTCAAAAACACTTCTTAAGTAGTTTGACTGAACCAAGAGATTATTGCCTGATACTGTAATCTGTCTGCCATTACTGTTAATTATAAATCCGGCGCTTACTCTGGTGTTCTGGTGTTTTCCGTCAGGTTATTTGGCCCAGCACTCTACCATACTGCCTTTGAGGGAGGGAGGGTTACATTTTAGCTGAACTGGAGAATCTGGCAAACCTTCTTGATCTAAGGTCTGGAAGCCTGATGTCCCAGAACTGCACAACATAGTAAGAGTTAGATTGTGAGATGGAAAGACAAGGAGATAGCAACGTGGTGGGACCTTCAATCTAGATGAAATGACCTAGTCTACAGCAGCAATGACAAGTAGGCTCGGGGTTGATTGCAATGGTGGAGAGGAGGGAGGAGAGCCGGTGGCAGCGTGCCATGCGGTCACCCCCTCGTCACATCAGATCACAGGGTTCTAATTAACTCCAGCACAGCATCAGGCTGCAATCAGCAGAACAACAGAGGAAATGAGATTTTTTTTTCTCCATGGTGTTGGAAAGCATAGCGTAAAAATGCATATGAGCCTTGTGTTTTTAATTAACATTTTGTGCTTAGGAAGCATGTTAACAGTATCCCTTAATGAGCTTTGTGGAAAACGAGACCCGCGGAGGACAAAGGGCAACGTCCCCTGTGTTTGCTGATGTGCTTTTCTTTATTCTAATGTAATGAGATTAGTAATCATTGTTTAACTCCTCATTCACTATAATCCCCTCCTCTACCCATTGTTTCTGTGGACTAGGACATTAGCTGTGATAGAACAGGGCTTTTATTTAGTAGGCTGTTGAGTCGTGGAATGGAGATCTGTCTAGATTTTAATGTAGTTTACGGTGTGCATTTGTTGCTGTTGGAGTCGGTACACAATGGCCTCAACATTATAATCCCAACACTCCTGTTCTATGGTCTTAAGTGCATTTATATACTTACACTTAGTGTACACTGGCAGGCTAACTGTGCAGCAGTTCTTACAGAAAAGGTGGAAAATTGTAATGCAGGTTTTTTAGTTCTTTTTAGGGCCATTTTTTGCTTTTAATGGAAAGGACATTTTAACAGAGATGAGAAATTAGAGGAGGAGGAAGTAGGGGATGATATGCAGCAAAGGGCTGAGGCCGAAGATTCAAACCCATGGCTTCTGCGAAGAGGACTACACAATCGCTAGGCTAGCCAACTCCCCTTGTAGAGGCCATTTTAATCATGATAACTTTAGTTTCAGAAGTATGATTTAAGTTTGTGTTAATAGAGTATATTTTTTGTGTTGTAAGAAATAAGTATTAATTTATGCGAAGTACTTGATTTGGCATAGAAACCTTTATGGTGAATAATGGATTTATTTGGGTATATTTTGGCAGGTATTTTGTGTTATGGGTGGAGCCGAGTTAATTAATTTGGGTGCGATGCACAGGTGGTGAGAAAAAAGTAGATCGTTTTTTGTTTGTGGACTGTGGTGGAGGTATAGGAGCCACGCAGCAAATGTTTTTTGATTGTGACCTTTTGTTTTGAGTTTTGATATATTCATTTTGGATCTGTTCTGGAAAGTGGAATTACGAAAATAAGAAATCAACGAAATGAAACAACGGATCTGTGAGTATATTTAAGTGGACACGCATCAGGAACGAACAGGTTGGCTCCTATGACATAAGTGACAATTTTTATATGACACACAAGAAGAAATTGCGGCTACACCCCTTAATATAGATTTTTTTTAGCAGCTGTTGAGATGTGTGACAGAAAGATGTTTTCACAAGTTTCAACATATTTGTGTTTTCTGGTGCTTGAAGACCACAAGACGAGGCTGAGAGTTAAGTGTAACACTTGGTTCTGGAAGCAGCAACTCCAGGGTCACTAATAAACCCTCACACTCTTGTAATATCATCAGCAGAAATGTTCATAATGCTATTACAACACGTATCCAGTTCCTTTAATGAGGACAATGATGTTGCTTTATAAATCAGACATCATAATTCATAAAACCACTCATATTGCTTTTTTCTTTCTAAACCTGCATCACACTGCTGGTACTGCATGTCTTTATTGAGTGTTCACTCTATGACCAAAGCCTCCAAAAGTTTTCATCACCATACCTGTCTCCTGGTTAAAGCTTGTCAAACCTAAAACTCAACCATTTGTCATCCTTCAACATCTGACGCAAGTTACTCTACCCTAACCGTCAGTGTCTTTGTTGATATCAAATATAAACTTTGTTCCATCCAAGAGAAAACTTTCTCAATAATTGAAAATGACGTTTTTCTTGTAGCACATTACTCTTCCAATAATTGTTAAGTTTGACGATTCATCTTGTCACATTACTTCCTGCAGCACTTAAAGAATTGGTCCTTTCCTAGACCTTAAAAGTTTTCCTCTTTCCTTCTAACGGCTTGCTGAAATTTTGGAGATTCTGTCAATTGCTGCTAGCTTCTTGCTGTTTTATTTATTCCCTCCTGCATCTCTCTGACTGGTCAGTTATTTGTTTTCCACACTGTCCTTGTGTGTTATAAATGGGACAGGCCTGTCACTTTAATGCTGAGAGGATGTTTTGAGTTCCTTTAGAGATTTTTATTTATTTAATTTTGGTTAGAGCAGAGTGGTGAATAATGCATCTCAACCTGCTACATGTACTGTTTTTATCATTAGCATGCGGCCCGAGTTATCTGTAGAATACTTATGAGTACCGGTGAAATGTTTGTGATGTTATTTATTTATGTTGCTCTTTTCAATTATTCATTTGTTTATTTATTCATGGAAGAACTAACTGAAATTGGAAAATTCATTTTCGCTGAAGGGCACTTGGCCCCACTCTATCCCCTCCCTACACAAAGGGAAAAGGAGGGGGTGGCACATCTTGTTAGTAATTGCTTTATACGGTGTTTCCTTAGACTCACCAGAGGACGTCAGTTTTTATCCAGGCAGATGGGTCAGCTGACAGAATAAAAAAAAAGAGAGGAAGTGACACAAGGGAGTGGGAGCTGAGAGGTGGAGAGAGCGTCAGAGAGACAGAAGGAAGAGGCTAATTCTCTGATGTTTCTTCAAAAACTCATTTTATCATGTTAGAGGTCTGAGCGAAGGTTACATGCAGTGATGGGTGAGGAAATGAATTGTTCTGAACACCCAGACATGACTCCACAGGTAGGACCTGAAGCAGAGGTTCAGACTGAGAATGAACATAATAAGCTGTGATTGCCTTGGGTTGTTTCCCCGTCTTCACGCTCTCCTGGCCCCTCTATGTTATTGTATGCTCACTTCAATTTCACACTTGCACAAACACGCAGCAATTATTCCTGATAAGTGATAACGATTCACTGAATTTCTATTCTCTATTTACAGATTCAACATAAAGATGTCAAATCTGTACTCTGAGGGTCTGGATTTTTTAGCATGAGAAGTGTTGTTGCACATTTGTAGTCCGACCTGCAATGACCAATAGGCTTTGGTGTGTACAATAAAATGATGGTAACCCAAAGCCTGCAGAATGCAAACTGCGCTGATGACTTAGAGGTTCCCATCGGCAGTAATATGACAATTTAAAAAAAAAAAACAAGCATTTTTAAAGTTGTGTTCTTCTCCTCATGAAGACAGACCTGACAAAGCTTTAATTTTTACTTTCTACAAATCTGCATCACGATGTCATTCGGCAAAGAAATCAGATTCTCTTTTGGGATCATTCAGCTGAGGTGAAGCCCATCAGTAACTATCATCAAATGTTGAACTGATACTCAAACAAAAACCCATGAACGGCGTAACGCCAGGGGATGTTGTGGACGAAGAAATGACAGACTTAAAGACTTAAAGACTTAAAAGCCGCTCAGAAAAGGAAGTCTTTACCGGAAGTCGTTGAACGCTAACCACTGGCTTCACAGGAATTACGGAAAGAAATTGGCATTCATTCGTAAAGGCCAATCTTGCTGATCTCATCCATCAGATGATGATAGGCGACAATTGCTGATGTGTTCTGAGATTGCGTACCTTTAAACGAGTTTGTGGCTTAGTGGCAGTAACTTTAGTCCTATGTTACAATCTGCTTAGGGACTGAAATCCAATTGGTGTGATAAAGGGAAATAAAATGTTTACCGGTATATCCATAATAATCTCTGATCACTTATCACTTGTTTGTTTTGACACTCTTGTTTCTCTGAACCTTCTGCATGTGTAGCTGGCAGTGATGGAGTCAGCGCTGAAGCTGGAGGTGCTGATCCTGTGGATTGATCTGGAGAATGTCCTGACTGGTCAGAAACCAAAGAGGCAGAGATCATCTCCTCTATGAAAGGTACAGTTAATAGCACACAGGCATCACATTCAATAAAGTCTATTTGGAAAGCCTTAAGCACACATGTTCATACACCCACACTTATAAAACCACACTTTGTGCTGATTTTTCTCAGTTTCTGGGTTCTCATTGAGACAAATCTCCTGAACAATCTAAATCACAAAAAACACTTGATTGCAACAGAAGTACAATACAAATATTCACCAGTTCAAACTGTCTTTATCTCTGTGTTTCTGTTTCATGGCCATTGAAAAGATATAGTTCGTACCAAATGAAAAAAGTAATGGTTATTTTTTTAAATGTATTTTACTTTCACTTTCAGAGGTGGCTTTTTTAGTATAATGGCTACAGATAATACATCAACAAAAAGGTAGAATTTGTTTTCCCAACTTCAGAATGTCAGGATGTTGTTTGGCCTATAGGCCTATATCAAACCTTTCCAAAACGCAGCAGTGTGACTGATCTTCAACCTACTCAAAACTGCACATGTCACTCCGCGGTTCATCTCCCTCCTCTGGCTCCCAGTTACTGCACATTTAAAACCCTGCAGCTCACATACAAAACAGCAGCAAAAACAGCTCCTCCTTACCTAAACTCTCTCGTACAGGTCTACACTCCTTCCTGCCCACTACACTCTGCCAATGGAACGCGTCCGATCCAACCTTCACAACAGGGTCCTAAGTCTCTAATTAGAATCTCCTCCTCTCCCGGTGGTTGAACGAACTTAACTACCAAATGCCATTCGATCTGCAGAGTCCCTTTGCACCTTTATGAAAAAGCTAAAGACCCAGCTCTTTCATGAACACTTTATACTTACATTTGATTGATGTATGTTTTTGAGACCAGTCAGGAAAAATATTTACTCATCCTGCAAATCTAGCGCAACATTACTTTCCAAATTTATGTCAGGTAGTAAAATATATCAAAAAAAAAAAAGCTGCTTAACGTGGATTAGGGTTGAGAGCCGCAGGGGTTCACAATAGAGAAAATTCAACTAGAAAATATGAAAACTACAAGAAAAGTCTTTCAAATGCTTCGCTGAGCTGTAAAGTCATTGGGTAGCTTTCATCACAAGGGTCCTTTAGCCATAAATGTAGCCACATGATGACACCTCTATAATAATAAAATGTACTCAGCCTCTTACCATACACAGTCCACTGTTTTGTGAGGACCATGAGCTCTAAGTCTCCTGAATCCTACTTAAGATGCAACAGGAGTGGCCCTCCTGAGGGTGGTCAGGTGTGTCACACTCTCTTATTCAAGGTGTCAACAAATACTACGCAGCCATGGAATGACAATTTGTATCATTTAATTAGAGCCTGCTTCTCCTGGCACAGTTCATTTATTGTAATCTTGTTAATGTACCTTGATTGTTTCATAATATCGTTTTTTTAATTAGCTCCGATTGATTAAATTGCATTGATTCTGTTTCCTTATTAAAAACAACCCCCCCCCCCCTGCTCTGCTTCCTTATTTTTCATAATTAATGGTACAGTGTGCTGCTGTGGGAGGGACCAGTTACACATTTTGTAATCAAAGATGGAATGGATTTAATTATTTATTGTGCTGGCTGTCAAATAGTATTACATTGACAGGAATTTTATGAGTTTTTTTAGAGGTGTTGTGCCGTGTGAGGTGATAGATGCATATATGAGCAAATGTTGCTGACTTAAAGCGCCACAAGATGAAAGATTAAGCTGAGCTCACATTGTTTTGTTTTGTCCCAAGTGTTTGGATCAAGCCCACAAATTCCGGCCCGCCCATCCACCCAGTACTGACCTTGTCTATTTGGCCCCCCTACATGGAGTCGCATGCATGCATACGTGTGCCTTCTAGTACAGAATCTCATTCCAAACCCTTGTGCTCTTTTTAATTTTGATTGATTACTCTGTTTATCTTTGGAATAACAATCCTCTGATATCCCGCAAAACCTTGTCGACAACCTCTCTCTCTCTCTCTCTCTCTCTCTCCACATCGCAGCACCCTCGTACCTTTCCCCATCACTCCCCTAGTATGAAAATGATATTAGAAACAAAATGAGATTTGAAATTTTGTGTTTGACAAGCAGCTTGATGAAAGTGTTTCATAGCCGGGCTTGATCCATGGAAATTTTATGCTAATAATACTGCTGGCCAAGCAATCTAGTGGGAAATTAATCAGGGTGCAGGATGGATAGGTGAAGAGGAGAGGAAAGAAGGAGAGAGAGAGGAAGGTAGGTTGCTCCGTAAACACCCCCCCCCCCCCACCCCCCACCCGTCCTCAGCCTCATTCCCTCTCCCTGGCTCTGAATCTCATCAGAAATAGCCATGGGGTGTTGTCTATGTGATGTGGTAGGGAGTAAAATTGGGAGTTAGAAAATTACACTGCAGCTTAGCACTGATTGATGCAGTAATGTATGCAGTAATGTATGCAGCCATGCAGCGTGCTGCCGTATTATGGATTAGACCTCTCCCCTTGGCAGACTGTCCCCTCCTGCATTAGAGACGACACACACATTTAGAAACAGATACAAACACATACACACCTCTTTAGCCATGTCTGTCCTCCTGTTATTATTCTATTTATCCTGTTCAGCTTTTGGTGCTGTCTTTTTCTACATGTATCGTTTCCTTCTTTCACTGTGTGTGTTTTTTTTGTGTATCTAAGGGCTGATTCAACAGACAGCCTCAGTGTGTTTGTTCTTTCCTCGGTCCTGTCACACACACACATACACACCCCTTTCTCTTAATTTATTCTCTTCCTTACTAAACCCTAGGACTTATCATTACACCGAGTCAGTAATGAAGTCATTATCAGATTTCACTCGTTTAAAACAACACAATTAGCACCTAGGCCTTAATGATGTTTGCAAGTTAAATGCAAACTAATCGTTTTTCCCCCCCATTTCTCTGTCTCATTTCCTCCTTCCTGGCTTCCCGCTCAGTTGGAATAAAGAGAGTAAATGAATCCCTAAAGTGTTTGTTGGAAGTGGGTGTGTTTGTGGGCACACATTTCTCAACCGTGTTACAAGTTTGTGTGATTTATTATTTTTACCCCGAGAGACATCTGTAACATCGTTCCTTATTTTTGTTATGTATCATCAGCCAGAGGAAAAATAATATTATCCAGTCTGGGATATTGTACTCTGGAGTCTGATAATCTAATGTACACCAGAGCTGGTGTCATTAAAGTGCCACTGGAGCTGTAGGGAGATGGTAGGTAAACATCTGTCTTTAAATCCCCACAGATGCTCAGGCTCCATCCCAGCCCCTACCCCAACATAAACACACACATGCAAGAGCGAAAACCCAAACTCTCTCACTCTGTGCTGTAGCTATTGGAGCAGTGTAGCAAACAAGGTGACTGGGTGGTAGCACATCATCCATTGGCTTTACTGTTTGTCTCGTAGGATAGACAGTTAAAGGTGCACTATGTAGTTTTGGTAGAGAAAGTTGGTACAGATTCTTGTAGTATATGTTCATATCTCTAAACACAAACTGTCCTGAGGGTAAAATTTGGTCCCTGTAACACTGTTTGAAGATACAATGCTAAGCAAGACATTAAGATGGTGGGCCCCAACAGAGAAACAGTAACTCTCCTGTTAGCTTTTTAGCTCCAAACAGTGTTCGAGGGACCCATTTTTCCTTTGAGTAAAGTTTGTGTATTTAGTTCAGAAAATATCAAATAAAATTGTTTCAATTCTCCAACTTTCAAATTTCACCACCAAATCTACATAGTGCACCTTTAAATGTGCCAAGAAATAGACAAGAGTGGGCATACCTGTGTGTATCACAATGTTCAGTATAAACTCCATTTTATTACTAATTATATATTTTTTTTATATACCTTTTGAGTAATTTTCTCCACTTAAATCAACACAAATTTCTTTGTTCCAAAAAAATGTTTCTGTCTGTTGAGATTCAGCTTCAAACATTTTCCTTTGAGCTTTAAGGAGCGTTGCTGTTCACTAACAGGTGGTCTTAACAATACTTAGGTTGAATTGTAAGGTGTCGTAAGCATAAGTGAATGAAATTGTTATGTTTTTGCCATGGTTGTCAGCCCTCTTACACAATATTATTCATTCTTTTATCACATGACCTTCTTTTTCAGTCTGGTTACTGTGTCAGTCAATTAAAGACAACCACATACTTTGAAATGTGATCTGCCTTCTTTTACAGTCACAGTTTATCAGAAGAAGAAAAAACAGCCCCACTAAGTGCTTCAGCTGATTCTAATCGATAGCATTCAGACATAGCAGCACTGAAGTTGGGAATGAAAATGCTGGACGGTAAAAAGAGCAGCAGCTTTCTTCACTCGCAGTTGAACATTCTTCAGAGGCAAGGAGGTACATTAAGGACGGAGATTTGTTGAAGCCCTTGAACTACGTCTTTAAGTCGGTGAAAAAAGATGAATTGATGTTTTGAGAAGTTGAAAACGGTATTTCAGTTTTGTGCTTGTGTGTTAATACGTTTTAACGATGCTCCAGCCAGCAGAATTGTTCCAGCATATGTAAGCACAGATATTTGTGGATTTTTCAACTGTGTTAGAAATGTTGCACATACAAAAGCCTGTGCAGAGACAAAAGGGAAAGATCATCCCAGAGCACTGCTAGACTAAAGTGGAAAGTCATGCTGAGACAGAGATGTGCATGTGATAGATAATGGGTGTTGGTGCCCAGTGGGGACAAGGAGTGCAGGAGTAAAGGTGGCTAAAGGTGTGATGGGGGAGCTCACCCCCATCTGTGACTGAAGTGTGGATGTGCTGCTGCTTCCTGCACACTTACTTTCACACACATTTTCTACTCGGCAATGAGAACTGTAAACAGACACTACAAATCCCTAAAAATCAAACACATCTCCTTCTTACGATAGATCTTCATTAGCAGTACCAAACCTTTGAATCACACACATCAGACATATGTGTCACACATACAACACTGACAATAAAACAGTTTTATCCACTCTGAGTTACAACCCATGGCTTGTATCTTTTAATACATGTCTGTGTTCTGTGCTGTGTTTTATTCACCTTTATTCATATTTAAAGATTAAGATCGTAACAGCAAGACCACCAGGTCCTCTTAATGTCTTCTCTGTACAAAAGAACCTGAGTCATGAGAGAAAAGCTGTTTTGTTAAGTGTAATGAGAAGCTTGTTGGAGAATGTTTAGTGAGGTCATAAGCACCTCATGCCTCAAGTCAACATCCTGGTAATTTATGCAATTCAGTGACTTTACAACATTTTCTGAAGAATTGAATATGATATAACAAAGTATTTCGAGTACTTCATGATAACTTAAATAAAAAGATATATCTTATCAGTTGAGTTATGAAACATGAACGTATAATGATTTCTTTCCATTTATGCTTCAAGGGCCAACAGTGTTTATTTCTGTGTAATCCTTACACCGTTAACTCTAGATTCCACTGGTACTCTCAATTAAGTAGAAATAAATAAGTCTTTGAAAGATCAGAGAGACTGTTCAAAACAAGATCAAATGTGTTCATTAACTTCAGAGAGGAAAGAGAAAAAAAAGTGATTCACCAAGGCAAAAAGCGGATGCCTGAGTAAAAGTTGAACACTAACGATTTAACATATTTTTGTAAGAAGAATCAATTCAAATCAAGATTGAACTGTTAGTTTGGGGGTCGAGGAGTGAAAGGGGAGTGAAGAGTCAAGATTCTTCATCCACGCTACCACTGACTCTGAATCCCAGCCTCAATATGGGCTGCCAAGAAACAGTGTCATTCTGTGGGAAACACAATCTGTATAAAGAAAAACTCCAATATAAACTTGAAATATGCAAAAACCTGTTTCTTATGTTAAAACCTGCATTTCAGCTGTTTATCAGTATATTTATTATTCTAGTTTCAGGGCGCTATTTGCCATCTGCTTGTGGTGGTCAAAACTCTGTCTGCTCAGGTTTTTTTCAAATGGGAACAACATAAAGCATTTGTTTTTCCATAGTGACAGAAAATTGTGCTGCTGCATGTTGTGATTACTTTGGTTGCGCACTGATCTGAATTAAACTGTGATTTGGGAGAACAAGTCACACGTCAGAGCAATGCTATTCACAGTACCGAGAGGATTTGTAAGAGATTTCATTATTGCATGATAATGAATGAATTAAGCGTTTGTGTTTTTTTGTGCAATTTATTGCTGTTAAATGTAGGTTATATAGGAATATATGGCTATTCAAAATCTGTCTGGTAGTTGCTCAATATGGCCGGAATTCTGGGATGTTGCCTGCCAGATTGGCCTTCAAAAAACAATCCAGCGTAAACTCTGGTCACGACGGTATGTATTCTTTTTAAACATGAGCCACTGATAATGTACCTCATTGCCCTGGAAAGGAGGTGAGTGCCCATCATCAGGCAGACCCTCGGCATGTAAAGTCCATACCCACAGCAGTGACTAATTGTTTGTTATGTCAGTGCTTGTCTTGCCCGTTTGCCTTTAATGGAGTGTAGTGTGGTGATCCATCAGGATGTCGAGCAAGCCCCGTGTCAGTTGAAGTGGCTGTGTGTCAGTGGAGTGAGCGTGCCGCGCAGATGTGATTTACTGCCCTGCTTGTTGCGCAGCGTTGTGCCTCGCCTCTAAACCCACGCAACGCAGCCCACTCCTCTCCACTACTCTTCTCCCCTTCCCTCTCCTCTCCCCTTAGATTGATGGCCAGTGCAACTTGCTCATGACACTCGCCATCTTCTGGCAACCTTTTAGTGCTTCTTTATAGATGGTTAGCGCACCTCATTTGGCTATTTATACATCTGTAAGTGGCCATGAAATATAGATTTGTCTTGATGGGTGTCAACATTGGTGCTATGGAAGCAGAGCTCAGCGACACCTCGTTATTTTAATGGTGTGAGATGAAGAGGCCCTATGGCAGGAGTCATTTTCAAACGTGGCTAGATTACACCGTTTTTCTTTCAATTTAATGTTTGCACTCGTATCTTAGTCAAAGCAAAAAGATGCATTTCTTGCAGTGTGTGCTTGATACCGAGAAATGGATATATGGAGAAAGGTAATCAAGGATGGAGAACTTCCTGCCCCTCCTTGTCTCGCAGACACATGAACATACTTAAAACCACACATTTGAATGCAGAGGTGGTTCAGAGTGAGAAGAACCCTTAACAGTAACATGATGTGTGACCTGTCATCCACAGACGCGCATACACATATTTCACTCCATTCACAGGCAAGGTCTCCGAGGTAATTAGGTGTTGGCACCCACTCAGTGCGATGTGCTGGTTAATTGAATAGTTAACACATCAGAGGCAGGCCTGTGCTGATTGGAGGTGACACCTGTCAGGAAGCAGGTCTCTCCCAACCCAGGATATTTCCTGCGCTGCCTGATACATATGTCATCTTTGTGGAAATACCAAATTAAGGGCAGGAAGCTGAGTGAGTGCAGTGCAGCAGGTGTTGAGATAGCTCGGGGGCGGATGAAGGCAGGTGCTCCTCTGCTCTGTCCTTCAAGAGGATTTGTAAAGCTCCGGGCACCTTTCCTTACTTCACCTCAGGTCATTTCAATGGTTATGTGACAGAAAAGTGACAGGGTTGTGTGTTTGTGTGTGAGTGCAAGTGAATGTGTGTGCTCTCTCCCTCATGCCCTGGAGCAGTGTGCCCAAGGCATCAAGGAGTGGAGTGTGCATGGTGCAGAGGTGTGTCAGGTGAGTGGAGGTGTCCAGCCTTCCCCAACTCAAACATGGCTTTCTGAATTATAGACTTGCATTTGCAAAAACAAAGTTTATTGAAAATACTTCATATCCCAACATAAAACTGTGTGAGGTTATATATGGGCCCTGAATGAAAACTTAAATCGTTCTCTACAGGCGGTTCACCTTGAGGAGGCAGGGGGTCGGCTGCAGGCGGAGGAAAAACCAGCTCAGGAGCAGAGGGTCAACACACTGGGGCAAGACCTGGAGGCTATTAGCAGCCAAACTACTGAGAGGAAGCAGGTACCAGCAGGGAAATATACTTTCACATACAGTAATAAGCCATACCTTAATATGAATCAAACAATTAAACTCAAACCTTATGATCACTTACACTGAGTAAACTCATTGTCTGGTAACTTTACAACAGTGCAGAGAAAAAGGATGGAACACTGCAGGGTAGAAGCAGCTCAATGAAGACTTCTGGAATGACTGAGTTGTGGCAAAACACTGCAGTTTGTGTCTCACTCTGATGGAGTATTGTCAAGCGATTCTCTGTGCTTCTTTTGGAAATTGAAAACAGTAAAAGACAGCTTGTTGGTCCAGCCTACCACCTGTGTGACACATCACATAATATCTATTGGCTCTACCTCTACTGTCATTCCTCAATGTCACATGGAGCAAATATGTCTGGGTCCCCCATCAGTTTTTGCTCATATGTCCGTTTTCTAGTTTTTACAAGGAGAAGGTATTGAAATTACAAAATCACAATACGGGAAGTTGTTAAAAAAAAAAAAAAACAGTGACATTGACTGAAACTGTGTAAGTCAGTGGTGCAGGAAAAAGAAGGGGAGTGACAGTGACAGGCTTTCGTGTCAGGTCAGCTAGCCTCCAGTGCTGGCTCTAATGTATTGCATGAGACAGTCACCTGAGTGTGTGATGCGGCAGCTGCCTCAGCCACTCACCTGCAAGGAAAGTGTCCATCAATTCTCAGCCCTGGGCCTTTTGTGTGATACACACTCCTAACCTACACAACATACCAATCTTAAAATGCATTTTAAAAAGCCTCTAACAGATGGATCCACCTGAAGAAATTGTAAGTGTAAATACAGTGAAAGAATTTAAACGCTAGGTAGAAAACATCAAATAAAAGGCCAGAGGCGACATTGCATCCAGAGCATTGGCTATTAAGCTTAAGGTAGTGCTACATTGTAGTGTTTCAAGCTTTAACTTGAGCTGTTATGGTGTGAATTATGAGACAGCTTTATTTTTTGGTATCCTTGTTTATTATGAAAACAACACAAGGAATTCAGCTGATTGTGAGCAGTGTAAAGCACACAGCTGAATAGATCCATATGCAATAGCTGACAGATGTTTTAGCACTATATGTGTCCTGGTGTCCTGTATCCTCAACCCACCATCCCAGTTCTCTTGTGGGCTGTGTGTGAGCCAGGCGCTCAACAGGAGGATCATTTAAGGTCGGGGCCCTCGTGTGAAATCAGATGTTTAACTGGCCGGCTGAAGTGGGAAGGGAGCATCTTAACCAGCACCTTGCCAAAGGTCTCATGTTCACTCAGCCACTGGGGCTGCTGTGAGTACGCCCGCCACCTGCCAATAGGCATTAGGGAGGATTTAGTAATTAAGTGATAGGCTGAGGACTAAATTGGGTGTTTGTGGGCTGGCGAGCCACCCCAAGGTCCCTACAGCCATGCAGATAGGGGATTCTAATTGCCAGGAATATTGATCAGCATGGCGAGGGGGTTGCACAGGGAATTCACAAGCCATCGATTAGCTGCTACAGCACCTCACTCGTCAATGGAAAAGGGAGGTGAGCATTGGAAAGGCTTCGGGCTTTTCCCACAGTATCCCTCACCACCAGCAGCTCTTGACAGTCAGAGTGGGTGACACAGCATGTTGTGGTGAAAGCACTATCCAATCATCCTCATACATCCTCCTCCATATCTGTAAAACAACTCATAGCAGACCAGTGGTGAAACTGGGAATAGAGAAAAAGGGCCTAGGTTGCATAGTTTTTCTCTTGTTATAAAGTGTCATCTTCCACCCAGCCAAAGCTTTCTCCCCTGTTTGCTGCTTTTTTCCTTTTCCATACCACTCATCTCCCTGGGTTTGTAAGAGCTCTGACCCGTGTCTCTTGTCCTGGTTAATGTCGGAGTGAGAAAGGGGACTGAGCTCGCCTTCCCTCTGATATTCAATTAGTTGCTTCACCTGGCAGTAAAGAGGCCCTGGTCAGCACTCTTTTCTTTCACACACACACACTCTGATTTCTGTTTTATCATTTCGGCTCCAGTGACAGGCCAACACTGAAAAACAACTTGCAGTACAAAACAACACTGCGCTGGTATGTTAGGAAAAGTCGTTTGTTTGTGACAGTGTATGAAGAACTCAAGCACACCATCTGAGGAAGGATGTTAAGTACTTGCCCCAAACAAGTGAGTAGCCAGAAGGAGAAGTGAAAGGAAGCTAGAGCTATTCACTTAAGATCAGTCAACAGATAGTGAGCTCTGATCTGAGCTCATACAGCAAAAAGAGGAAGGAAGGAAGGAAAAACTACCCCATTTGATTGAAGTATTTACAATAATGTAACCTCTCAAGTTTCAAAGGTCGGTTTATTGTTTCAATAACTTTCAACAGGGAGAACAGGTTCCTCTTCCATGTCCACAGCACGGCCAGACCGCCTGTTTACTGAAGTATGTAACTTAGGCAGCAGGTCGAGGTCATCTCATGAGAAGTGGGTAAGGTTTTACAGCACTAGTTCACACACAAGCCTTCAATTTTTAAAGAAGCCAGATAGCCGTCTCTGTATTGCTTGATACAATGGTTGAGAGTAAAAGAGGACGAGGCGGATGAAGCTAAGAAGAGAAAAAGAGAGAGTAACCAAGCAGGAAGGACATTTTACATTTGTTTATTTATTTATTTGGATCCACACCAGCAACTACCTAAGTAGCAACTACTCTTCCTGGGTTAAATTTCTGCAGATATTATTCATAACTGATTTTGACGTAACATTAGGCTTTATCTTTCATTGTCAGTGTTTTCTCATATGCAGCTTTATAAAAAAGTGCAGGCAGTCACCTAACCCGAGTTATGTCTCAGGTTTTTTATTTATGTATGTAAATAAATCCATCTTAGCTGCAAGTTAGCTATATAAGTTTGGAATCTTACGAACATATCTCAACTAGCATAATAAATGATTCACTCCAGTGTGAACATTTAGCCGCAGCCCATAGATATCTAGGCAACAGTTGAATGCACATACACCGACTCCACATGCAAACAGTTTATAAACAACAGGCTGTAGAAGCTAGCAAAGTCATATTTGCGCAAACTCCGTAAATAATACTTTACCTTGTGGTTGTTTAGCTTCCCACCATCTGTTTGTAAACAACTGCGTGTTGTCAATGAGGGCGAGGCTCTAAGTGTTTTATGACAGTGCAGTTTCACTCAGAGACTTTCGGTGGGTGCCAAAACCCACCAAACCAAATTCCTGCATATTTTTGCTTTAAAATTAATGTTTTATCTCGTATAAAACCGATCAGCTGAACTAGATTTGGATGTGGACACTATGGGATTATATGCCTGTATTCTGATAGGACAGTGAAGAGTGACTGGAAATATTGGGAGGAGAGTGAGGACTCGTATATAGTGGGCGCACGCTCTAACTGCTTGGCTAAACCTTCCTGAGTTTGTAAGGACCAAAATGTAAAGTATCTTTAATTTCCATAGTCATCTATACGAGGCAGGGTTTTGTTTTTTTGCCGTCTCAAGTGCTGTTTATTTGAGCTGGAATGAATTGCAGAAACATTGTGAAGGTTTCCTGCACAGCAGTCTCTAACCTGAGTCATTTGGAGCCTATTACAAAACATCAATATATTGATTGAAGTAAGTGTCTCAGTGTGCTCTGTAAGCACACGATGAGGTTCAATGTGCATGTTTTATCTGCTTGAATCTTATCAGGATTTAAATCTTTTCATCTTCAGTTCACTTAATCAGCTTTTGAGCCAAAGAATAGACTCACTCTACCCACATTTGTTTGGTAAATTCACAGCAACACAACTTAAGATACCACCTCACATGAAAAATAAAGGTAATACTTGCTTTATTTTAGATCTTCTACTGGCTCACAGCCAGCTTAGAAATGTAAATGCTCATGGGTGTGCAAGACGGTTCCAATGAGAAATTTCCACAATGGGTGAAGTCTGTGGCCTGTGTGCCGACTCTAAGATCAAACTGAATCCTGCCTCATGTAGCATAAAAAATGCAGGTTCAACGTGTCAGAGAGAAATTCAATATGAAGTGGACAAAGAATAAGTTAAGACAAGTTTTGACTCAGCTCACAGCCAGGTCAAAACAGAGTTCCAAAATAGAAAGAAGGCATTAAACTTCTATACTGTACTCTCTTTCTCTGTTGTTTACTGGAATTATCAAACTTTCATTCACTATAATACATTATGTAAGAAGACCCCCTGCTTGTTTTCCAATCTAATGATGTGTATTGACCTGCTGACATTTTTTGTGATAATTGGCCTGAATCCCCAATGATGTTTCCGTTAGTGAATTTATTGAGAGAATTTCATTCTTTAGAGCCTGTAGCGTTGAACATGTTCTGAAATATAACTTGAACAAACTGCTTTTTGTTGGGTATATGTTTTTGGTTTTGTAGTTTGAAAACAGCTAGAAAAGAGACATAATCACACTTCTGGGTATATCTGTTGATATTTATGACCTCTAGCAGCACGCCGTTGTCAAAGGGAGCATCAGATTTAAATTCATGTTGCCATAGGAGCATCTGCACTGTGTGAATTCCAAGGTCATCTTGTCATCTCCTTAAGGGGGGGGGGGGGTGTTCCCTCCCATACTTGCCTTCTGATTGAAACCTAGCTACACCGTTTCTCCAACGACCAGAAGTCACCCTCCAGCCATACTCATAAATTGAATTAGTTTCAGTCTGAATTTGTGTTTCAAAACTAGTAATTATTCTTTAACCCCAAAGGAAGCCAAGAGAAATGAGTCAGATCTTCACAAGTCATGAAATTTGACGATATACGATTCCACACCAACCAAAGGGACACAAGCCTGAAGCACAGCAATTTACCAACCATTCATCTGTTAGCAAATTAAATCACAGCACATTTGACATCTTTAAGAAAGTTAGATAAATCTGATGAAAAAGTTTCCTTCTCAATTACCATCCGAAATTAATCTCCTTAATCCCAATTTGATCTCTTTCATGCATATAAGGGATATCTTTCATCTGCCCACCTATGTGTTTTAAATCTCCACTA